TCCACACAGACAGTCGCCCGAGGCTGGAATTGAACCCGGGTCCCTGGCGCTGAGGCAGCAGTGCTAAACACTGTGTCAACGTGCCACTGTTTTATCCCATGTCATTAGACACGTGTGACTCCTGGATCCCCAAGTCATTGGGAGCGTCCTTTCTGTGCTTATCCTGTTCAATCCTATTAGAATTTTGTAGGTTTCTATGAGTTTTGCCCCTCATTCTTCTAAACTCCAGCGAATATAACCGAACCAGCCTTTTCTCATATCTCAGTCCTGCCATCCCAGGAATCAGTCCAGTAAACTTATATTGCACTCCCTTCATAGTCAGAATATCCTTCCTCAGATAAGAAGACCAAACTGCACACAATATTCCAGGACTGGTCTCACCAAGACCTTGTATAAGTGCAGCAAGACTATCCCTGCTCCTGTACTCGAATGCCCTCGCTATGAAGGCCAACATACCATTTACCTTTCTCACCGCCTGCTGCACCTGCATGTTTACTTTCAGTAACTGGTGTACAAGGACACTCTGGTCTGGTTGCACATTCCCCTCTCTCAATTTATTGCTGTTCAGATAACAAACAGCTTTCCTGTTTTTGTTACCAAAGTCAATAACCTCACATTTATCTACATTATACTTCATTTGTCATGCAGCTGCCTACTCACAACTTTCCCAAATCACACTGAAGCATCTCTGCAAACTCCTCACAGCTCAACCTCCCACCCAGCTTTGTGTAAACTGCAAGCTTGAAGATATTACTTTGTTCCTTAAATAGGATTAGTGAATAGCTGGGGTCCAAGCATTGATTCCTGCAGTACTCCATTAGTAATTGGGTCCTAATCTGAAAACGGTTCATTTATTCCTTCTCTTTGTTTCCTGCCTGCCAGCCAATTCTCTATCCATGTCAGTGCACTACCTCCAATCCTACAGGCATTAATTTTACACACTAATTTCTTATGTGGAATCATATCGAAAGCCTTCTGAAACTGCATTCACTGGTTTCCCCCTTATCGACTCTATTAATGACATCCTTGAAAAACTCCAATATGCTTGTCAAGCATGATTTCCCTTTCATAAATCCATGCTGACTCTGTCCGATCCTGTCACTGCTTTCCAAATGGTCTGCTATTAGAACATAGAACGTAGAACATAGAACATAGAACAATACAGCGCGGGAATGAGACAACATCCACTGCTCTACCTTCTTTGATCACTTTCGTCACCTCCTCAAAGAATTTAATCAGGTTAGTAAGACATGATGTGCCCTGCACAAAGCCTGTGCTGGCTGTCCCTAAATTAGGCTATGCTTTTCCAAATACGCATGTATCCTATCCCTAAGAATTCTCTCCAATAACTTCCCAACCACCGATGTGAGACTTACCAGTCTATAGTTTCCTGGATTATCCCTATTTCCCTTCTTGAACAGAAGAACAACATTAGCTACTGAGCGGTCCTCCGGGACCTCTCCAATGGCTAGCAAGGATATAAAGATCTTGGTCAAGTTTATTAAGTTTGTGATAATGGACTCTAGCAATTTCCCCACTACTGACGTTAGGCTAGCCAGTGCAAAATTCCCTGCTTTATCTCTACCTCCTTTATTTAAATATATTGGGATTACATTAGTTATTCTTCAGTTGTATGAACCGTTCCGGAGTATATAGACTCTTGAAAGATGACAATCAATGCATCCACTATTTTTCAAACCACTTCCTTAAATACTCTGGAATATAGATGATCAGATCTTACGGATTTATCAGCCTTCAATCTCACCAATTTCCCCAACACTATTTCCTTATTAATACTAATTTTCTCAGGTCTTCCCTCGCACTAGATCCTGTGTTCCCTGACATTTTTGAGAGGCTACTGTAAACTTCTTTGGAAAATGTCAACTTCCTTCTCTCCAAAATCCTTGTTTCCCTTTCTCTTCAGAAGACTGAACTACTCCATCCTACACATCACCACATTGCCTGATTGAATTGTGCAGAGCACAGCTTGCTGGGATAATTCAGCACATTCTGTCCAGACTATACTGGAGGTCCCCCAATATCGCTCCAGGCAATGGAAACACCCTCAGCAGCCTACACTCTGCTCCACCATTGGTTGAGGAATGGATAGCATTATATGGGTGGCACGGTGGCTCCGTGGTTAGCACTGCTGCCTCACAGCGCCAGGGACCTGGATTCAATTCCAGCCGTTGGGTGACATTCTGTGTGGAGTTTGCACATTTTCCCCATGTCTACATGGGTTTCCTCCCAAAGATGTGCAGGTTAGGTGGATTGGCCATGCTAAATTGTTCATAGTGTCCAGGGATGTGCAGGCTAGATGGGTAGGGGTGTGGGTCCAGGTGGGATGCTCTTTGGACGATGGGTGTGGACTCAATGGGCCGAGTGGCCTATTTCCACACTGTAAGGATCCTCTGTCTGCACTCCACATTAGTTGGGGGTCGTACAGTAGTGTTATGGATTGTGGTCACAGTTGCTATCCCTCATCCCCCAGCAACCAGCCATGGAAAGCACTCTACACAGCAGTGCTCCAGAATGTACAAGATCTTCTTTTATTCACTTGTGGGACATGTGCACTGCTGGCTGGTCCAGCATTTATCGCCTGTCCCTAGTTGTCCTTGGGACGGTGCTGAAGATCTGCCTTCTTAAACCGCTGCTGTCCAAGTGCTAGAGGTAGACCAATGATGCCCTTAGGGAAGGAATTCCAAGATTTTGACCCAGAGATAATGAAGGAACAGCGATGTAGTTCCAAGTTAAGATGGTGAGTGGCCTGCAGAGGAACTTGTGGGTGGTGGTGTTCCCATGAATCTGTGGCCCTTGTCCTTCGAGAAAGAAGGGGTTGTTAGTTTGGAAGGTGCTAAGGAGCTTTGGTGAATTTCATGGCAGCTGCCATGGTAGTGGGGACACCTCTCCAGGAAGTGGTTAATGGAATGGAACCTCTTCCTGTTGATGAGTTGTGCAGTGCTGTGATTCCATTCTGTCAGTGCCATGTCTGGGCAGTTGATCTCGCCCTGCACTTAGGGGAAGCCAGCTATGATTCTGAATCTTACCGCCTAAACTGCAGCACGAATCTTGCCATGGAAATGAACTTATATGACCTTGTCCAGACAGCATCAGTCAAATTCCTGATTCATTTGTGGGGGTACGATGGGGAGATCCTACACTTCACTCCCCCAGAAGAAGTCAGTTGTGTGGGAGTTTAGCACTGCAGTGACAGCTTTTACAGCATTTGGGAGAGGATAGCCTCCCACTCCTATAATCCTCAGGTCTTGTTCTCATTTCATTAGGCGTGTCATGGAATACTCTCCATTTGCCTGGATGGGTACAGCTTTAAAAACACCCAAGGAGCTCAACGCCACCCAGTTAAAAAACACTCACAACCTTCAATGTTCACTTCCTTCACTGTCAATGCATAGTGACAGGAGTGTGATCTACAACTTGAACTGCAGCAACTCACCCAGGCTCCTTTGACAGCACCTTCCAAACCCGCAACCTCGGGCAGAAGATGCATGCTGTACAACCAGCCGGAGCAGCTACAATGAAGCAGGCCCTGTAATTAAGGCGAGTTTCTCAAACTCACTGGAAGACGTCAGGCAGAACCCTGCCTGGGTGGGGTGGTGGTTCAATCATGAAGGAAAGATCAGGATATGGTGGTCTCCCTTTGTGGCAAAGTGAGCACCTCTCACTGGTAAAATACCAAGGGTGGCAGCAAGTCCCTTAATTAGCTACAGTAAAGAACGAATGGTGGCAGGAATGTAACAGGCACATCACTTCCTGCCACTGCACCTAATTTGACATCCCCACCATGGCCTCCAACCTCACTCCAAGTTAAATTCATCCTATTGTGTTCCAAGATCTTTTATTTTAAAAAGACATGCAAGAGATGGAAAATTGAGTAAAATTCTATGAACAATTTATTTCATTCATCTCTACTGTATGTCCTTTTGATGTAACTATTGTTTCTTCCATTTTCAACATTTTCTGTGAGCAAAACATAGATATTTTTAATATTAGAAAGGTCTGCATAGTCAAAACAGTTGACAACTTGTGGGTTCATGTGATCCATTTTGATATAAATGCCCTGCATTCATCAAATTCATTTCAAAACAAAATTGCAACAGATGATGAAGTAAGAGAAAAAAAAAACATGAGATGAACTGATGCTTGGTTTGCAGCCAAGGTGCAAGTGTCAACAACTGTAGATTTCATAAAAACAGACAAGCCACTTCTTGTTACTCATCTCCATTGTTGCAAGTTTGGTATTCCCACTTGAAATCCGAAGGAATTTCCAATCGTTCCAGGTTGCAACAGAGACTGCCTAATGTTTTCTAAATCCAACATTTTGGAGTCCAAATATCAGTTAGTAATGGAAAATGATTGCTGTAACTCAGTTCTGCTGAGAATAAAAACAGAATATAAACACTTCTCCCACGAACATTTGGTTTTGGAATAGGCTTTTATTCATTGCATTAATGGGGAGCAAAGGCATTACTTTCAACTCCGCAAATAGCTACAAATTGGATGATTATCTACTAGGTTCTCCTCCAGTCATTGATTAATAAGCTATGACTGACACCCAATATACTAACAGTAGTAAACCAAGTTATGAAGGGACAAAAACAAAGTTGCTAGAAAAGCTCAGCAAGTCTGGCAGCATCTGTGAAGAAGAAATCAGAGTTAACGTTTCGGGTCCGGTGACCCTTCCTCAGAACAGTTATGAAGGGGCCTTCTTATGGCACAGTAGTAGTGTCCTTACCCCTAAACCAAGAGGCAAAGGTTCATGTCTCACCTGCTCTAGGAGTATATGGAAGTGTGTGATAACATCTTTGAACGGGCTGATTAGAAAAATAGGTCAGTTTAAAACAAAGTTATGAATGTTTACACAAAGGGTGGTTCACATGTGGTATGAACTTCCTGAGGAAGGGGATGGATGTGGGTACGATTACAACATTTAAAAGATATTTGGATAAGTGCACGAATAGGAAATAGAGCGACATGGGCCAGGAGCAGGAAGTTGGGACTAGCTTAGTTTGGGATTATGGACTGGTTGGACTGAAGGGTCTGTTCAGTGTTGTATGACTCTACGAAGTCCCATTTCTTTAGTATAGGTTTGACTGGAACCTGTGAGCTGCCATGACTAAAACAGTTATTGTTGATAGGTACTGAATCTGTTCTGTGAATTATTATCAAGTCACTCTACGAATTCATGCTTATAAAACAGGGAACTTCACCAGAGCACTGGTTCAGATGAAGTTAGTCCAATGTACTAGTCAATGGTATAATTTGAGGACTCACATATAAACCCAGCATCATCCATCTTAAGTTACATCAAGTTGAATTTTGAGCCTGTTCCCTGCTCTAGTATACTTGTTAGGTAAATTCAACATTAATACGGATTGCAGTTTTCCAATTTTGTGTAGATATTAATGATGGTACTTTATGTAACTTTGGCAGAAACATCCTGCTCTGTTCCACGTAATCTGCCAACAACATTAATGGACCAGCCAATTCTTTGTCTTAATCATGGCACTCCTAACTCCGTATCAGAAATGACAGGGTTTGAACACCAGTCTAAACAATCCTGCAGAGGTGGCGACTAGTTTAACATCCAGTGGGTAACATGAGTCATAATGGAGTGAGGTGCCTAGAAATCCTGCCATATAGGAATACTGGTGTCTGCTTCCCATGGATATACAGACTCATTAATAATCATTTGGTAGCAGAAGTACTATGTGCTGCTGCATAAAATTATCAAAGCTGCTATGCATGACTAGAATATTTTTTCTCTATTGCTTCAATAATCTGTAGATTGAGCTATGCCAAAGGTTCAGTATAAAACAACTTCACTTGCACACTTGGTGAAAGAAGAAACCTTCATTATATATAAAAGCCCCATTTCAGCTGCATAAAATTAAAAATAAAGTCTACTTTTAAGCAATCTTGACACTTGAAATACATTATGATACACACATAAAAGTATAAATTACATACTCAGATAAATTAACCACAAATTGTGATTTAAACAAAAACACAAAAAGACAACAGCAGGACAAAATGCCTGCAAAATTTCACCTTTGTTCAAGTAGTTTACAAAGACATGTACATTATCTTGTCAGCTCCATTAGTGAATCACTGGCATTTATATTTTTCTGAATCACATTCATTATTTTTTATCATCCCATGATGTCTATCATGACATATGGAATGAATATTTTTAAGTGCTTACACCTACTGAAAGCAAGTCAAAGATGTCTAAAAGACAAGGTATTGCACAATCCTAATGCTGATGTGACTAACTAAACAGTGCATTTCCTAGGATAATTAACCACCTACAACTTCATTAATGAATCTACAAGTCTTCCTACAGAACCAATCCCTCTGTGGCTTCTGCTGATCGGGTACACTATTGCTTTCACACCACTATTTTAATATAAGTTGTGAAAATTACAAATATCTTCTAACAGCAACTACAATGCTCTTTAACTCTTACATATGCCAAAATAATGCATTTGGGCATTTCCATTCTTTTGTGTTAATCTACATCTCAACATTTGTTAAAACCTATCCAAGTGTGAATCACACAGCCATGCGGAATGTTTACAAAGTATTCTATGGGATCAATTTGGTCATGGATGTAACCATATTTCTCATATTACACAAATCTATTGCATTCCAGGACTATATTTCGGTGACCATTGTCATAAACATCATTAAATTAACAGTCTTTTTCCCAACAATACTGAGTTGACAAACCAGCAGTCATCTCATTGTTCAGTTTTAATTCCAGTTATCCGGAGACCAGCACCAATTTTTGAGTTTCTGTCTGAAACAGCAGAGAATAACCAGCTGTATCCCTGACGTTTAGTCCACAACTTGAGAGCAAATACTGAAGAGATGTGCAATCATGATGACACTCTCAAAGTTCAATTCATAATGAATTTACATCCATCAAGCTGAACAAAAAAATAAGTGACATGTTTGAATTGATCAGCGGCTGATGAAATACAGGCATCCAATGTCTGTTTTGGCTCTCACTGAGATTCAGCCTCCTTTGTTCTGACATAGGAGTTCTAGACTACTGTAGGCCAACTGCCTTGTCCTCAGATGGCAAGTACTGCAAAACATCTTCGGTTTGGGGACCATTTATAGAGAAGTTTACATTGAAGCTAAACCCTTGTTAGAAGTGTTGATCTGGAAGAGAAAGAAATATATTGTTTTAAGTGCACAATCAAATTGTGAAATAGGAACTTGGAAGAAGAGTGTGAATCTTAAGTTTTGTGATAAAGCAAAACACATCGTAATCACATAATCAAGATTATTCAAACTCTTTCCTTGGGTTAATTGTTTCATCAGGTACATTCCATTTATAATTACCTGTATACGCTTTCTATAATCAGAATTAAAACAATACATTTCTGGTGAGCTCTAAATAGGCTAGTTAAATGAACTGTGACAATTCCTCCCACTTTTTACCCTCAACTATGAGATCATCCAAAGCTCTGCTGGCTGCTGTAACTCTTACCAAGTCTCTGCCACCTGACAAACCACTGCTCGCTGATATGTACTGGGTCTTCAGAAGGATATGCTTTGATTTTAAAATTTTCATTCTTGTTTTTAAATCACTTCACAGACTCAAACTTGCCTATTTTTCTAATCAACCTGTTTCTGAGATGTTATTACACACTTTTACAGCAGGTGAGACTTGAACCCAAGTCTCTTGGTCCAGGGGTAGGGATGCTACCATGGTGCCACAAGAAGGCTCTAAAATACAAGATGTCTGTGTTCCCTCAATTTAGACCTCTTCAATGGGCAGCATGGTGGCTCAGTGGTTAGCACTGCTGCTTCACAGCACCATGGGGCTGGGTTCAATTCTATCCTTGGGTGACAGTGCTGAGTTTACACCTCTGGGTGCTCTGGTTCCCTCCCAGTGTAAAGATGTGAAGGCTAGGTGGATTGGCCATGCTATATTGTCCAGGGATATGCAGGCTAGGTGAATTAGCCATGGGATAGGCTAGGATTGGTTCTGGGTGGGATGCTCTTCAGAGGGTCAAAGAGGCCTGCTTCCACACTCTAGAGATTCTGTGCATCCCCAATTTTAATTGATCTGCCCTTGGTGGCCGTGCTTTTAGGTTCCAAAGCCTTCAGCTCTGCAATTCCCTCTCTGAACTTCACTAAATCTTGACCTCTCTTTCCTCTTTTGTGGCAATCATTAAATTCCACCTTTTTGACCAAACCTTTGGTCATCTGTCCTAAAATCATTTTATATAGTTTGGCGGCAAATTTTATTTTGATATTGTCCCCTTAAAGCACCTTAGGATGTTTTACCACTTTAAAAATGTTCAACAGTTTATATTTATAAAATATATTTAGAGTTTGGATAAGATTATCATCTTGAATCACATCTTAAGGTACTGTTACTCATCATGAAGACATGGTATATATTATATAAATACATTGGCAAATGGCTATAACATATAAAGCAAAACTGCTTGGGTAAACTTGGGAGGAACTTGTTAAGTATAGCATATTAAGTCTACACACCCAGTTTAAAGTCTGCATTCTTCCTCATTTATTTTTATTAAACATCACGTTACTCATCGGGGAGGTGGTATTGTCATTGGTCTAACACGCTGAGGGCACGGGTTTAAATCTCACCATGGAGGTAACGTTATTTTATTTTGTATTAAAATCTGGCATTCAAAAGCTAGTTTAGTGGTGACCATTATCAATTGTCGTAAAATTCCAACTGGTTTACTAATATTCTTTGCAGAAAACAATCTACTGCCCTTACCTGGACTGGCCTACATGTGACTCCAGACCCACAGCAATGCGTTTTTCTCTTAAGTGCCCTTCAAGCAATTAGGGATGGACAATACATACTAGTAAATCCAGTGATACTGACATCCCATGAATGAATAAAACAAGGGGTTATAGGCTTCCTGATGAAGCTCTGCACTTGCAGATTTTAAAGCAGACCAGCAATGGAATGATACTGGGTAGGGAAAGACCTTTGTGGAACACTTCCTCTATATCAATTCTGATAGAGGGATTAGTGCACATAAAACCATTTGCAAACAAAAATGTTTGATTTCCTTTTGTTTTCAATTTTTCAATTTCATATGTTTGGTATGGTTTGGCAAACTTTCAATGGAGAATCGAAATAAAAGCACACAATCACGAACTGAACAGATCAAAAACACAATACTTCCATTGATCCTTAAACAAAAATAAGTAAAGGGAAACATGTAATTATCTAGGATTTATATATAAATTTGAACATATGCTTTTCTTTATAATTACCCCTACACTAAAACCGCTGTTTAATGAGCTTTGCTGTCTACCTTAGAGACTTCCATCTCTCCTTCTCAACGTGGTTCTCAGGGCTTTCACTATCATACGAAGCCAAGTAAAGTGCTGAGGAGAAACAAGAGAAATAATAATGATACATTGTTGCTAATTTCATAATTTCAATCTAAAGCAAAATTTGTCTTATACAGTTCTTAGGCACAAAGAAATGATAGCACAGATGGCTCTTAAGCCTGTGCCTGCTGCAGCTCTTCAGATTCAGTTCTCTTTTTGATCCCATTTTTCTGCTCCTTCCCTTTATCCTTCTGCCATTGAATCTAAGGGATGAATTCATATCCAATCCATTCTGGAATGTAACCCAACCACAAATGGCATGGAGTCAGGTTATTTGCTTTGCTCTGGCTTTAGACAATTCAAGTAAAGTACACTGAAAATGAACTGGAAAAGCAAGTCTTACTGTCCATCTAGGTTTTAGAAACAAGTTAAATTTGACCATGATTAGAAGGCAAAATGAGTGACATATTAAGGATTTGTGTCCATGGCAATATGCATCTGAAATTCAGGGCAATCTCTTGTATTGATTCACTGGTCTTGTTTGCTAAGGATCAACAGAAATCTGTGCTTTAAATGCCATCAAAGATTGGCAGCTTTTTTTCATTGAGAAAGATATATATTTTTGATTTAATTTGTTCAAATTTGAATTTCAACGATGGCAGGAGATGTGTCTCACCTCAGCCTGTAGCAATATTTTAGTTTTCCTTGCTTTATAATATTTCACATAGAGGGAAGCATGCACAACCAACAGTAAAGTAAAGCTGATGCTTGTTGCACAGCTACTGAATTAGATTCTGCATCATTAGAAGACATAACGAAATGTAGTGTTATAATTATTTAATAATTCAGGACGTGCAAATTAATCTGTAATCATGTGAAATCTGTTGTTAACCTTTAACTACTGCTTAATCTTTATGTTTAGCTAAATAACAGGCACAATTGTTCATGACAGTGTTTGTTATGTTATTCAAATGCTAAAAAAAATTAGGAGGCTTATGTAATCTTCAGTGAGCAAACTGCAATGACTAGGGTGGTTTGTTCAACATTGGGCTACCTTACAATAGTAGATATTGTGTGTAACATCACATGTAGGTTCACATGGATCAAGGGCCCCCTTATGAAAGTGATTCTTAATACTGACTATAAGATAACTGTCCAGAGACTGAACATTGTAATAAAGTAACAATTGTAATAAATAAATTGTAAGAAAACAATAAAGGCAGACACCAGTGCAACAGACCAGTTTAAAGTGTTGTACTTATGTGCTATGTTTGAAGCAGAGATTTTGAGAGGATTTATGAACAGAATTTAAACTTCTTTCTGAGTGCAGGGAAATGTAAATGATGAGAAATTAGATATCCATAGTTTGACTTATTCTTTCACCAATCCTAGAAATCGTTTTTCTATTTCACATTGGCAACTTGCATTTATACAGCAACTTTAATTTAATAGAATTTTGCCTGAAGTGTTTGCCTAGATTATTTACTGAATTTTCAGGAGTGTAGCTTTAACTGTAACCTCCTGACACAAAGGAGAGAAGGGTGCCACTGATCTAAACTAACACCTTGTCAAACATGGTGAAAACAGGATTTTTCAAAGGTAAAATACAGACAGCTGTTTCTCTGAAATCTAAACAGTAATTAGTTTAAATCTCTGTTCTTGCGCACTTAAAACACAATTATATTTCAATCAAACTTATAAAGCAGCCTTGAAAGATGTTTTAGATAATGCAGTTAATGAAACTGACAGTAAGTGATATGTCTGTGTAAGGTACAATGATTTTGACAAAGAAAGGGACCAAAGACAATGATTTAAAACGGCCATGGGCATCACCTGAGCCACACCAGGCTAACCAAATTTCAGAAAACCATTTTGACTCAAGAGAGACAAGCTCAGGTGAAATTAACATCTTTTCCCAAGGCAATGAAATTCTTCCCTGGAAGGCTTGAAAAGGTTCTCATTTCCTGTCAGATTCTGAATCATCACATGAATTTTTACAAAGAGTCATACAGATATACAGTTTGGAAACAGACTCTTTGGTCCAACTTGTCCATGCCAACAAGATATCCTATATAAATCTAGTCCCATTCGCCAGCATTTGGACCATATCCCTCTAAACCCTTCCTATTCATATACCCATTCAGATGCCTTTTAAATGTAATTGTACCAGGCTCCACCACTTCCCCTGGCAGCTCATTTCAACACTCACCACCCTGTGTGTGAAAAAGTTGCCCTTTGCGTCCCTTTTATATCTTTCCTCTCTCACCTTAAACCTGCGCCCTTTAGTTTTGGACTCCCCCATCCTGGGGAAATGACCTTGGCCATTCACCCCATTCATGCCCCTCATGATTTTATAAACTCTCTCAGGTCACCCCTCAGTCTCCAAAAGTCCAAGGAAAACAACCCCTGCCTATTCAGCCTCTCCTTACAGCTCAAATCCCCCAATCCTGGCAACATCCCTGTAAATCTTTTCTAAACCCTTTCTAGTTGTAGAAATATTTGCATCATCTATAACTACGGGTGAGGTGCCTGATGACTAATATTGTATCTTTGTTTAAGAAAGGTTGTAAGTAGAAATTGGGGAACTATAGACCTGTGAGTCTGACTTCAGTTTTGCGTAAATTGTTGGAGGTGATAATGAAAGATAGGATTTATGGACATTTAGAGAAACAAAAACTGATTAGGGATAGTCAGCATGGTTTTGTGCGAGGAAAATTGTGTCTCACAAACTTGATTGAGTTTTTTGAGGATGTTACCAAAAATGTCGATGATGGCAGAGCAGTAGACACTGTTTATTTGGATTTTGGTAAAGCCTTTGGCAAGATTCCACATAGTAGACTAATTAGAAAAGTTAGGATCATGGGATTCAGGGTGAGCTTGCCAATTGGATACAAAATTGGCTTAATGGCAGGAGACAGAGAGTAATGGTAGAGGGTTGATTTTCAGACTGGAGGTCTGTGACCACAGGGATCAGTTCTGGGTCCTCTTTTATTTGTCATTTATATAAATGATTTGGATGAGAATGTAGGAGGCATGTTAGTAAGTTTGTGGATGGCACCAAAATTGGTGGCACAGTAGACAGTGAAGAAGGTTTTCTAATATTACAAAGGAATCTTCTTCAAATGGGTCAATGGGCTGAAAAATAGCAGGTGGAGATCAATCTGGATAAATGCGAGGTACTGCATTTTGGTACAACAAACAAGGGTAGGGCTTATACAATTAATGGTAGAACCTTGGGTAGTGTTGTAGAACAAAGGGACCTAGGGGTGCAGGTATATAATTCTTTAAAGTTTGTGTCACATATAGACAGGATGGTTAAAAAGACATTTGGCACGCTTGCCTTCATTGCTCAGTCCTTTGAGTATAAGAGTTGGGATGTCATCTTGAGGTTGTATAGGACATTGGTGAGGTCTCTTCTGGAATACTGTGTCCAGTTCTGGACGCCCAGTTATAGGAAGAATATTATCAAGCTGGAGAGGCTTCAAAAGAGATTTATCAGGATGTTGCCGGGTATGGAAGGTTTGAGTTATAAGGAAAGGCTGGATAGGCTGGGACTTTTTTCACTGGGGTGTAAGATGTTAAGAGGTGACCTGATAGAAGTTTATAAAATAATGAGAGGTATAGCTAGAGTTGATGATAGTTGTCTTTTCCCTAAGATGGGGAATTTAAAGACTAGAAGTCACATTTTTAAGATGACAGGAGAGAGATTTAGAAAAGACACGAGGCAAATTTTTTACACAGAGGGTGGTTCACATGTGGAATGAAATTCCTGAGGAAGTGGTGGATGTGGGTACAATTACAACGTTTAAAAGACATTTGGGTGGATACGTGAATAGGAAAGGTTTGGAAAGATATTGGCCAGGAGTAGGCAGTTGGGGCTAGTTTAATTTGGGATTACATTCAGCATGGAATGGTTGGACTGAAGGGTCTGTTTCTATGCTGTATGACTTTAAACTCTATAACATCCTTTGCATAGCAGGGAGACCAGAATTGCATGCAATACTCCAAAAGTGGCCAAACCAATGTCCTGTACAACAACATCATGACCTCCCAACTCCTATACTCAATGCACTGACCAATGAAGGCAAGCATTCCAAATGCCTTCTTCACTATCCTATCTACCTGCAACTTCACTTCCAAGGAACTATGAACCTGCATTCCAAGGTCTCTTTGTTCAGCAACAGGACCCAGAACCTTACCATTAAGTGTAAGTCCTACCACTCCTCAGCCCATTGGCCCATCTGATCAAAATCCCATGTTGGAGTTAAAAATTGCATAAAATTATTAAGTATGGACACAAGCAGACAGAATATAAAGTAGAGGATATCTGATGCAGAACTGAAGGAGCCTCTTGCTTTCTTGAGAAGAAAAGCCTGGTGACGCACAGTGAGTCCTTAAAAAGATGCCTCCACTGTTGATGCTCCCCAGAAACAAACAAGCACAGATGGTCTCTATTATTTTCTCAGGGTTAGCAAGGAACAAGAAAATCTTGCAATGTGCACTATGCTAAAAATTATTTCACCACGTTTCAATAAAGGAAAATTATAACCAAGGGCTAAACAAGCTTAAACTTTGTTGTGACCAACAAGGGAGTTAATTCACCACTCCTCACCTGATTGTAACAAATTTAATAAAATTTACAGGACATTTTCTACATTGAGCAAAAATGCATTCAAGTTTGGAACTTTCAATTAGTTTATAAGTAAAATGAACTGTTTTTTTTTACAAATTCAAAAATCAACCTGACAACAATTCACACTATACCCATTGAAAAAAATTATAATCCATTTCAGACATTGTGTGGTCTTTTATTTTACCACAATGGAAATAACTAAATGTGCTATTTCTACTACAACTCCATTGAGAAGTCTAGTAAATCAGTGCTGATCAATGATTTACATAATTTACACACTTACAGCAGCACTGATGGATATCACACACCTATTGTACTAAAGGAAGTCACAAAATAATTTGAGGAAGTTACTCAAGTCTTTTATTATTCCAACTGAAGCTTTACACTCCAATAAGATGCAATAGTGCTAACAGACACAGAGAAATCGCTGGGCAGTCTAAGTTTATTTGAAGAGCAAGCCATTTAAGACATAAAAACAGGAATTGCTGGAGAAATCCAGGCAGCCACAGTAGAGAGAGATACAGTCAACATTTTGAATTCAACTTGACACGTATTTGGAGAGTGAGGGATTGCGAAGGGAAGAGGGGCTGCAAAAAATAAGAGGCTGGAAATGGGAGGGACAAGCTTCAACGGGCTTGCTTAAGAGATGCAGGGCATCTGCAAAGGAAGGAGATGAGCTGCAAAGCAAAGGGCAGGGTGTTGTACAGGGGGTAGCAGCACTCGAATAGGCCTGAGGTACAGCAATGGGGACAGCAATGAAATATCCGGGGATTAGGTAATCAGGAACACATGCAGACATTGAGGAAATGAATTCCTTGCAAATGAACGTGGAGTAACTGTCTTATGGCTACATAAATTCAAGAGCTGCTGTACAAGTGAAGCTAAGATAGCTATTGTATAGTAGATGCTATTGTAATTGAACAGTTTCAGTTGAATAAGTTGATACTGAACAGTTTTATTTCATAAAGATTTGTATTTATGTGTTATCACACCTCAAAGTGTCTCACAGAGTGTGATTTACTTCAGGTACTGTGACTGTGTTACAGCTCAACATGCAACTGTTTAGCTGTGACCTCCGCAGTCTGCTGAGTGTGTGTCTGGGGTGATTGCCTTTTGTGTATTTAAGGGCGTGTCAGATATTTGAAAAAAATTGTTGCTAACTTATACCTGCTGTCTTGTGAAAATGTAAATACTATGGTTTTAGGAAATTAATGTTTTTCTTACGTTTTGTGGCTTTACATTTATTGAGGCAGTGACGACGATATTGATGTGTTCTTCTCATTCGGCTTCTGTGTGAACCAAAAATAATCCATATACCAACACAAAAACAAAAAGGTATTGTAGCTATGCGACTGCATCTCCTGCTCAAGGAGGTGGGTCCCTGAAAAGCATAAATTAGCATTGGAAATATCTAAAGAGGAACCCCAAAAGAAAAACTGGCCCCTGGTCCCCAGGCCAAGGTTGCATTCATCGTAGTTTTCTGCTGAAAACCAAAATTGGAAATAAATACTGGAAACTTTATAATACTAGAGTGCTGCATTGACTATATTCCATTCTGATGAAGATATTCAAATTCTCTGAAGGACAGATTAAGGAAATAAATAAAGAACAGGACTGACACATTGTTTCTCTGTAGTTTTGTTTCCTCTGTTTCCTGAAACCCAAATTTGTGTGGCGATGTGGTTCCACAGGTGGACAGATCACCAAAGCACTCACTGTTTGTGACAGTTCTATCCCCAGGGTCTCGATTCCAAGGACAGGCCAGCACTAGCCAGATTCAGCAGATCTTCCTACAAAGAAGCAGTGTGGGTATTTTGCTGGCTCTGCAGCTGGCTGGCACACAGGCCCTCGACAAGCTCTGTCCAGTGTATTATCTGGACAGCACAATAGATTTTCAAATATTCTTACTGACTTACTATCTTCAGAGAAGACAGGAGCTGTGAGAAGATATTGAAGAATTTTGCGATCACGTTCGAACGGGCATTCCACTTGTTTCCAGGTCATGAACTCACTGACTTGCTTTGCAAGCTCCCAGAATTTCTAAAAAGAGAAGTAATAAATTTGTTTCATCCAACGGCTGAGTATAATCTTAGAGGAAATTAAAGAAACATCAAAATTATTTTTCTGAATGGCCTTAAAACACGAAATACTTCACAAACTTTATGCCCTTGGACCAAGATCACAGTGGTCTGTGTAGAAAATAAAAAAGGAGGATATGAAAACGTAACATACTTTTTGGACATCAAATTAAGTATTTTAAACAATGTGTGGTTAACAGAAAAACAATATTTACCAACACAGGCACCTGTGAGCTTAAAAAAAATTCTTGTAAATAATTGGGTGAGTTGGGCATTGGAGAAGCAATGTTCACATAGGAACATAAGGACTAGGAGCAGGAGTAAGCAGTTAAGCCTCAAGCCCACTCCACTATTCAAATACAATCATGATTAATCTTGTCCCAGCCTCTACTCCACTTTTCTTATCGTTCTCTGTAACCCATTACTAATTAAAAATCCGTATATCTCTTCCTTAAATTATTCAATGACCCAGCATCCACTGCACTCTGGGGTAGTGAATTCCACAGAATTACAACACGGTTGAATTCAGATTCAATCCTCTGTTCTATTGTGTTTCCAAACTCTGCAAAGCTGTGATGCCAAGTAAAGCTCTGATAAGCTTGAGGCACATTACATAGGTTGGACACACCAATTCCATATCTACCATCTAAATCCGGCATTATCAGTGGCTTGGCAGATTACCTGCTCCACTTCCCTCATAACCTGTTTATTCACTCGTGGGATCTGGGCATCACTGGCTGGCCAGCATTTATCGCCCCATACCTAGTTGCCCTTGAGAAGGTGGTAGTGTGCTTTCTTCTTGAACTCTTACAGTCCATGTGTTGTAAGTAGACCCGCAAGGTCCTTAGAGAGGGAATTCCAGGATTTTGACCCAGTGACAGTGAAGAAACGATGATACATTTCCAAGTCAGGATGGTGGTGGTTTGGAGGGGAACTTGAAGGTGGCGGTGTTCCCATGTTTCTGCTGCCTGAAGGTGGAAGGTGCTGTCTAAGTATCTTTGGTGAATTTCTGCAGTGCAGTTTGTACATACTACACACTGCTGCTACTGAGCATCAATGGTGGAGGGAGTGGATGCTTATGGATGCAGCACTAATCAAGTAGGCTGTTTTGTCCTGGACGGTGTCAAGCTTCTTGAGTGTTACTGGAGCTGCATTCCACGTTGCAGGGGGCGGGGAATAAATGAAAATAGAACTTCAACTTGCATGTGAACTCTAGCTCTGAAACTGTAAAGGGACATCTGCTCTATCCAGTCTTCATCTTTGTTCTTGATATTCCTACAGCAGAGTACATACTGCAAACAGCCTGGAAAGGTGACCACGAGCTCAGGATGAAAAACATCTTGTATAAAGTAACACACACAGGGTAAAAATTACTGTCAGTAATGTTATCGTGTAACTTCTTGACATTCATATCAAAAAGTTTCCTTCCACACTTTTGACAGAATCAATAAAACATTTCATGTCAGGAACAAAAACAGAAGTTGCTGGAAAAGCTCAGCAGGTCTGGCAGCATCTGTGAAGAAAAAAATCAGACTTAACATTTCGGGTTCGGTGACCCTTCCTCAGAAGGGTTCCCGGACCTGAAACATTTCATGTTAGTGGATTTAGCGTTTTTGTGCAAAACTGAAGACAGGAAATAGAACTTGGTAAAATCATATTTATTACTTATGTGACTGTATTCCTGATGGTACTGTCTACCTTTAGATTCAATCTTTAAGAAGTCAATTCCCACTCATGAAATTGAATCAGAGATAGTAGGAACTGCAGATGCTGGAGAATCCGAGACAACAAGGTGCAGGGCTGGATGAACACAGCAGGCCAAGCAGCATCATAGGAGCAGAAAGGCTGACGTTTCGGGCCTAGACCCTTCATCAGAAAAGGGGGAGGGGAAGGGGGTTCTGAAATAAATAGGGAGAGAGTGGGAGGCGGATAGAAGATGGATAGAGGAGAGGATAGGTGGAGAGGAAACAAACAGGTCAAAGAGGCAGGGATGGAGCCAGTAAAGGTGAGTGTAGGTGGGGAGTTAGGGAGGGGATAGGTCAGTCCAGGGAGGACGGACAGGTCAAGGGGGCGGGATGAGATTAGTAGGTAGGAGATGGGGGTGCGGCTTGAGGTGGGAGGAGGGGATAGGTGGGAGGAAGAACAGGTTAGGGAGGCGGGGACGAGGCGGAGGCGGCGGAAAAACTGCTCTATGTCCAAGCGTGAGCGGTATTCGTTGATCTGTGGGTGGAGGGGGACAAAGGTGAGCCCTTTACTGAGGACTGACCGTTCGTCCTCAGTAAGGGGTAGGCCTGGGGGGATGGTGAAGACTCGGCAGGGCTGGGTGCTATTGGCCCAAAACGTCAGCCTTTCTGCTCCTATGATGCTGCTGGGCCTGCTGTGTTCATCCAGCTCTGCACCTTGTTGTCTCGGATTCTCCAGCATCTGCAGTTCCTACTATCTCTGATTCAATTTTAACCCCACTGCGAAGCCTCTTTTAAGGATGCCTAGCCTGAAGAAGTTACCCTCCTCCCTCCGGACAAACCTCAGGGGTCTCTCTCCCACTGCAACTCTCTCGTAATCTCTTCGGCCCTGAAACTGCTCGACCATGTCCTGAAGCAAACCAGGTACTACAGCCACATCACCTTTCTTAGCACCTGCCTACGGAACCAGATCATCCCCAATGGACTACAATCCACATTCAAGCCTTCCCAATTTGATCCCAACCGTGACAATATCTACACTCATGGCATTGAGATCCTTCAGAAGCATTTCTCCCTGCGACTCCTGAAACACACACTTGCAGCAATGCGCCGGCATCTCCAGGCACTACAATCAAGCCTACCCCAGCTCAGAGCCTCCCTCTCCCAGACCTGCAAAGGACCTCTCCTGTTTTTTCAACTCCGCCCACCGCTGACGCCGACGCAATTCCGCCCACAGCCGACGCAACTCCGCCCACAGCCGACGCAATTCCGCCCACAGCCGACGCAACTCCGCCCACAGCCGACGCCGACGTCGCTCCGCCCACAGCCTCCACAGCCAGCAGCTCCAGAGGGGACAATAGCACCCAGCCCTGCCGAGTCTTCACCATCCTCCCAGGCCTACCCCTTACTGAGGACGAACGGTCAGTCCTCAGTAAAGGGCTCACCTTTGTCCCCCTCCACCCACAGATCAACGAATACCGCTCACGCTTGGACATAGAGCAGTTTTTCCGCCGCCTCCGCCTCGTCCCCGCCTCCCTAACCTGTCCTTCCTCCCACCTATCCCCTCCTCCCACCTCAAGCCGCACCCCCATCTCCTACCTACTAACCTCATCCCGCCCCCTTGACCTGTCCGTCCTCCCTGGACTGACCTATCCCCTCCCTAACTCCCCACCTACACTCACCTTTACTGGCTCCATCCCCGCCTCTTCGACCTGTTTGTTTCCTCTCCACCTATCCTCTCCTCTATCCATCTTCTATCCGCCTCCCACTCTCTCCCTATTTATTTCAGAACCCCCTTCCCCTCCCCCTTTTCTGATGAAGGGTCTAGGCCCAAAACGTCAGCCTTTCTGCTCCTATGATGCTGCTTGGCCTGCTGTGTTCATCCAGCCCTGCACCTTGTTGTCTCCCACTCATGAAATACTGTTTATAAATCATTTGTCAGGGGCAAAATAGTGTGGCCAACAATCAGAGATAGACAACAGATGACCAAACGGCAGGATTCCACAGGGGCAAAGAGATGAAACAACAGGGAGATTACATAAATAAAATGTGAAAAAGAGAGACAGCCACACATGCTGCTGAAACATCTAGCGAAAGGCATACTAAAGAAACGGTAGATCAGTACAGGATTTTGGAAAGACAGAAAAACTCAAGACAATCAATTGAAGTGACTCAAACTAATATCAGAATTGCAGCAGGCAATAGGACTGGCCCAAGGATTAAAGCAAGAGATCAATTTGAAAGCAAATGGACACAAGGCATCTCAGAGGTAGTTACATGATAGAATGATTGTGGCAAATGGATGAAGATCAAAAAGGGCCAGAATGGAGAGGGAAAGGTTCATGGGTGCACATCTACTCTGAGAGGTGGATTGAAAAATAGTCTGTAGCAATGTTAATCTGCACACTCCTTAATGGTTAGATAGCAGCCAAATAGCCTAATTTCTTATTTTTAAGGATTTCTTCTTTCAGAAAGTTTGGTTTTACTCAACGTTCATGTGGGGTGCCCCTTTTACTACTTTTCACCGGTATTCAGGGCTTTAAAAACAGACAAAATAACATCAGAATTACCTCAAAATTGACATGGCCATTCAGTAAACGGTTGGCACAACCCTCGTTTAAAAAGTAAATATCCTTGATTAAGAGACTGCAGAAAGGAATTACAATCTGTCAAAACAAAATTATGATGAAATAAAAATTAGTTATAAGCTTCAGTTGAACCCTACATCCTATTAGTTATCTATTAATTACAGGTATTAATAAAACTGACTGGAATATTTTAGGAGCACAGGAGCAGGAATAAGCCATTCTGCCCTGTGAGTCTATTTCACCATTCTGTGTAGTCATGCCTGATCATCTAAATTATTCTTTTGTCCCTGCACCAACTCATTTTCCTTAATGTTACTGATATTTAGAATCTGTCAATCTCTGGCTTAAACACACTCAATGACAGAGATTCCACCGCTCTCTGTAGCAGAGAATTTCAAAGATTCAAAACCCTGAGTGAAAACAAAATCACCTTTGGGCTTAAGTGGCTTCCCTCTTATTTTGAAATTATGTTCCCTGGTTCTAGACTACTGCCAAAATGCCATCCCCTATTCCCAATTCCTTCGCCTCCGCCGCATCTGCTCCCAGGATGAGGCATTCCAGTCCCGTACATCTCAGATGACCTTGTTTTGCAAGGACCGCAACATCCCCTCCTCAGTGGTCGAGAACGCCCTCCACCGTGTCTCCCGCATTTTCCGCAACTCATCCCTCACACCCCCTCCCCGCAATAACAACTAAAACAGAAACCCCCTCGTCCTCACGTACCACCCCACCAACTTCCGGATCCAACGCATCATCCTCCACCATCTGCAATCCAACCCCACCACCAAAGACATTTTTCCCTCCCCACCCTTATCTGCTTTCCGGAGGGACCACTCTCTCTGTGACTCCCTTGTCTGTTCCACACTCCCCTCCAGCCCCACCACACTCGGCACTTTTCCCTGCAACCGCAGGAAGTGCTACACCTGCCCCTACACCTCCCCCCTCACCCCCATCCCAGGCCCCAAGAAGACTTTCCACATCAAGCAGATGTTCACCTGCACATCTGCTAATGTGGTATACTGCATCCGCTGTACCCGTTATGGCCTCCTCTACGTCGGGGAAACCAAGCAGAGGCTTGGGGACCGCTTTGCAGAACACCTACGCTCGGTTCGCACTAAACAACTGCACCTCCCAGTCGCAAACCATTTCAACTCCCCCTCCCATTCCTCAGACGACATGTCCATCCTGGGCCTCCTGCAGTGCCACAATGATGCCACCTGAAGGTTGCAGGAACAGCACCTCATATTCCACTTGGGAACCCTGCAGCCCAATGGTATCAATGTGGACTTCACAAGCTACAAATCTCCCCTCTCCCTACCGCATCCCAAAACCAGCCCAGCTCGCCCCCGCCTCCCTAACCTGTCCTTCCTCCCACCTATCCCCTCCTCCCACCTCAAGCCCCATCCCCATCTCCCACCTACTAACCCCGCCCCACCCCCTTGACCTGTCCGTCCTCCCTGGACTGACCTATCCCCTCCCTAACTCACCACCTACACTCACCTTTACTGGCTCCATCCCCGCCTCTTTGACCTGTCTGTCTTCTCTCCACCTATCTTCTCCTCTATCCATCTTCTATCCGCCTCCCCCTCTCTCCCTATTTATTTCAGAACCCCCTTCCCCTCCCCCATTTATGAAGAAGGGTCCAGAAATGTCAGCCTTCCTGCTCCTCTGATACTGCTTGGCCTGCTGTGTTCATCCAGCTCTACACCTTGTTATCAAAGAAAAAGTTTAACCGACATCTTTCCCTTTACATATTTTATAGGTTTCAAGTTCACCTCTCAATCGTCAAAATTCTAAAGAATTCAGGCCCGATTTCCCCAATCCCTTTTCACAGGACAGACACATCATCTGGGAGCAAGTAGGTTGAATCTTCATTTCACCCCCTCTGTGGAAGCTTCTGTAAAGGGACCAAAACTGCACACAATACTCCATGTGCTGTCTATGCAAGCTTCTATACAACTCAAATCTTCTTGTAGTAAAGGCTAATATACCATTAGCTTTCTTAATTGCCTGCTGCATTTTTAGGCATAAGCCTTCAGTAACTTATTGACGAGGTTACTCAGGCTCCTTTGTACAATGACACTTTCTAACCTCTTATCGTTTAAGAAATACTTAGCACATCTGTTTTCCCTAACAATGCGGGTAATCTGACATCTTCCCACATTGGTTTCCATATGCTATGTACTTGCCCATTTACTAAGTCTGTTCAAATCCTCTTGATGCCGATTTGCATTTCCTTTACAGCAGACTTCCCACCGAGCTTTGAGTTTTCTATGAACATGGAATAGTGCATTTGGTGTCCTAGTCACTGTACATCTTGCAAATAACATGGGCCCAAGTATGGAACATTTCAGTACCCCATCAGTTACAGCTTGCCAACACGAGAACAGCCCATTTATTCCTACACTTTGCTTTCTGCCTATTAGCCAATCCTTAACCCTTGCCAAAAATGATCTCCTAGTTCATGAGCTTCAATTTTGCTAACCCACCTCTTGGGAACAGCCTTATCAAAAACAACATCTGAAAATCCAAGATATAAATTCTGTTAGTAATATCCAGAAAAAAAAACCTCAAATAGGACTGTAAAACAATTTCTCCTTCACAAAACCATGCCTTCTGCTTCCTGCCACTTGACCAATTTCTGGATTAGCCAAACCATGCTGGTTATGCCTAATCAGATCATTATTATCCATTATTATCTATTTATCACATTCTCAAAATGCAGCAGTTCACGAAGTCAGCAGCTAATAATAGACCTGTCATGTTAATGGAGATATCATACTGCTTATTTTAAACAAGATAACACCTCCACTGAAAGATTAGAAAACTAATTTCACGTGAGTTGCATGGCTGAACCTTAATATTCAGATAATTTCAAGGTCATTGGTTTTTAGGTTTCAATGTTGTTGCATCACATTGCCTTATCTTTATACACTAGTCTCCACCCTGCTCCTGGCTCCAGCTCTACACCCAGCCCCAGCCCCAAGCCCTACTGGACATTTACCATTTCCCCCGGACCTCCCCCTTACTGAGGCTGAAAGGTCAGCAAAGGGCTCACCCTCAATCCCCTGTGCCCACATGTAAACGAATTCCACATGTATCTCGATGTCAAGTTCTTTTTTCACCACCTCTGCCTCCCTGCCTTTTCCTTTGAACAGGAATCCAACCCACCCTCTGCTGACCCCTTCTCCCGCCTCCAGCAAACTCCATCCTCCTGGACACCCCCTCCCGTCCTCCTACCCTTCCTCAACCTTTTCATCTTAAACTGCCGCCACGACATCAATCGCTTGGATCTCCCCGCACCACTCACTCACTCTAACCATTTCCCATCGGAACACACCTCCCTCCACTCCCTTTGCTCCAACCCCAACCTCACCACTGAACCTACCGACAAGGAGGGCACAGTGGTAGTGTGGCGAATTGACCTCTACATTGCTGAGGCCTGACACCAACTCTCTGGCACCTCCTCCTACCATACCCTCGATCATGAACCCACCTCTGATCACCAAGCCATCATCTCCCAGACCATCTACACCCTCATCAGTTCGGGAGATCTCCTGTCCACAGCCTCCAATCTGATAGTTCCCCAACCGCGCACTGCCCATTTCTATCTCCTACCCAAAATCCATAAACTTGACTGCTCCAGTTGATCCACTGTCTCTGCCTGCTCCTGCCCCACCGAGCTCACCTCCTCCTGCCTCAACTCCATTCTTTCCACTTTGGTCCAGGAACTTCCCACCTACATTCGTTACACAACCCATGCCCTCCACCTTTTCCAAAACTTTCATTTCCCCAGCCCCCAGCACCTCATCTTCACCATGGACGTACAGTCCCTGTATGCTTGTATCCCCCATAAGGATGGCATGGAAGCCCTCCGCTTCTTCCTCTCTCATAGGCCCAACCAGACCCCCTCCACTGACACCCTCATTCGCTTGGCAGAACTGGTCTTCACCCTCAACAATTTTTCCTTTGACTCCTCCCACTTCCTACAAACCAAAGGAGGAACCACGGGCACCTGCATGGGCCCGAGCTATGCCTGCCTCTTTGTACTATTCGTGGAACAGTTCCTCTTCCATAACTACACCGGCACCATCCCTCACCTCTTTCTCCATTATATTGATGACTGCATCAATGCGGCCTCGTGCTCCCAAAAGGAGCTCGAGCAGTTCAACAACTTTGCTAACAACTTCCACTCCGCCCTCAAATTCACCTGGACTATTTCTGACACCTCCCTCCCCTTCCTGGACCTGTCCGTCTCCATCTCCGGAAACCGACTCATCACTGATATTTATTTCAAACCCACTGACTCCCACAACTACCTCAAATACACCTCCTCTCAACCAACCTCCTGCAAAAATGCTATCCCATATTCTCAATTCCTCCACCTCCGCTGCATCTGCTCCCAGGATGAGGCGTTCTACTCCAGGACATCGCAGATATCCTCCTACTTTAGAGACCGTGGTTTCCCCTCCTCTGTAATTAAGGGTGCTCTCAACCACATCTCCCCCATTTCCTGCACTTCTGCCCTCAAACCCTCTCCCTCCAACAACAAGGGTAGAGTCACCTTGGTCCTCACATATCACCCCACCAACCTCCGAATACAACTCATCATCCTCCCACATTTCCGCCACCTATAATCAGACCCTAACACCAAAAAGATATTTCCCTCCCCACCCCTCTCTGCTTTCCACAGGGCCATTCATTCCGCGACTCCCTCATCAGCTCCACACTGCCCACCAACCCCTCCACCATACCCGGTGCCTATATCCCTGCAAGCACAGGAGGTGCTACACCTGGCCCTACACCTCCCCTCTCACCTCTGTCCGAAGCCCCAAACAATCCTTCCACATCCGGCAGAGATTCACCTGCACCCCATCTGACCTGACTCATTGCTCCCGTTGCTCCCGATGTGGTCTCCTCTATATCAGGGGGACCAGTCTGCAGAGCATCTGCACTCTGCATGCACCAACCAACCCGACCTCCTGGTTGCCATCCATTTGAACTCCCCTGGCAACATGTCCATCCTGGGCCTCCTGCACTGTCAGAGTGAGGCCAAACGTAAACTGGAGGAACAACAC